AAAATTTTAATAAAGAAAATTAAAGGGTGTGGGTGTGTGGAATCTCTCTTCAACCACACTCACACTCATACCCTATCTAACTTAAGCTAACTTGTCTTGTCTACCTTATCCTATCTAATCTGAACTGATCTATCTAATGTAACCTAACTGTCCTGATCTATCTTATCTTACCTATCTCACCCTATCTAATCGGAACTAATCTAATTAAGATCACGTAGCGTCACGGAAAATATCTAACGTAGGCTAATCTGATTGCTTTCTCTGTCCTCAATTCTCAAGCACTCCTTGCAGTCTTCATCGGGACACCATGGCATTTTATGAAACAGTTTACTTCGAACAAGCATTGTCTTTGTTCCTATACATCTATGAGAATTAAATGAGGCAGGAGCACTTTTCTGCTGTTTCTGCTCTTTGCCACAATGCACACAAATAATCTTCCTAACATCAAAATCAAACTTGCGCAGCACTCTTTTATGTCTTTCTTCTGGCGCTAACTCACTCTCGTCTTTTTCTCTCTCGACTATTTGAATGCATGATTTACAATTCATCTTATCGGGACACCACTCATGCACGTAAAATAAGTTGGAAATTACTGGAACCAATCTTCCTCTTTTATTTCTCTCGTTATTTGCGGAACAAGGATGTCTAAGCGAAATACTGTTGCCGGTATTACTTTTTTCTCTGTTAACTTCCTTAAAGCAATGCATACAGACAATCTTATTTTTTTCGATATCAAACGTACTCAATACTAATCGTTGACGTTCTCTTTTCCAATTTACACTCTTTAGTAATATTTCTTTAAGAGAAAAGTCGTTCAAAAAATCATCTTCAAGTCTCGGGACAATAACGGCACAAGCTTCACAGGTTTGTTTACTTGGACATCAGTCCATCTGAGTAAAAAGTCTACTATACACCATAGCAGCAGTTCTTCGATCCTTTCTCATCAAACCCGTGGCTGGACATCCATGCTCATTCAGAAGGCGGGAAGATTTGTCAATAGTTATTTCTTTTTTACAATGAACACAAATAATCATGTCGATGGCATGATTGTATTTTTGAAGAGCGAGTGTCTGTTTGTCATTTTTGTTAGGAAAGTATCGAATATCCCTAAATCCACATACAGCACGGTTTATAGCATTTGCCTTTTTTCCGTCATGGTTAACGCGAATGTTAAGGAGAGCTGCTACAACCGCTTTCATGTTTTGATTACAATCAGAAGAGACTACCACGAGACGGTGGGGTACGTTTCGTTTAGTTAAAGTACACATTGGAAAATGCAAGCTACGTTGCCCCCTTTTTCTTCTATAATATTCCTTCCAGCGTTTGAATGGTGGACTTCGTTGTGTTTGTCCGACATAATGCCAATGAAAAACTTTGACTTGCTTATGTAGTGGTAGTTCGCTTTCAAGGTAGCTACGAAATTGTGCTACGCTGTGAGCAATATAGTCATCAGAGATGTCTTCCTCAATTTCGTCACAGTAACTTTTCAGGTCGTCGATTGGAATGTCAAAACTCCAAACGTATGTTGCTCCTAAATCAGTACGATGGGTCCATTTAGGAGGAAGAATAAGGGAGTCGTTAGGAAGTACTAGTTGCGCAATATCAAACGAATGCGGGTTCACTTTCTCGTTATTCTCAGCGAGCGCAAGAAAAATCTTATCCAACGCAGGATTCTCAATGCGCACCTTATCTAACAACTCACATATCTTTGATGCACCACCTTTAATCGTGCGCAAATGTTGGTTAGATTTCAACCACAAAAGAAAGTCAGGACGATCAAAATTTTCACTTTGACGAAAACTTTTATGAGAAATTATCGGCGGTTGCTTCACTGGTGTGCTATATGGAGGGCTAATAACTGGAGGTTTTGGTAGCCCAGGTGGAGTTCTCAGAAGCATCATTGAATTATCGTTAACTAACAAAACTGTGCTATCTACGGAAGCTCGTGGATCTTTGTCTATTCGTACTGTCTTTATTCTCTTACTTTTTTTTCTTACACTTATATCTGTTTTGCTATTTCTATCATTCATTGATGGGGATAGACTCGTATCATGAAATTTACGTTTCTTCTTAGCTTTCTCATCTGTATCACAATTACTAATATTACTATTCGGATTACTCTCACTTTCGTTTTCGCTTAACGTTAAATTTAAAATATTTGTATAGTTTTTTCTAGATGGTCTCGCTATTGGTATTTCTTCTTTATCTATAAATAATGTATCATCTCCCTCTTTACTAAATGCTTGATCTTTACTACTCGCTACTTGCCTGTTATTGTAATGCTGATAATGATGTTGCATGAACCTATCATTATAATTATTTAATGTTGATGGTATATGATGATGCTGAAAAAAGAACAAGAATGTGCGACGGCACGTGAAGAGAACCATTCACGAAGAGCTCCTTCATATTTCCATCTGCCAGTGGTAGTCGATGGATGTAGCCCATCTTCCACACGCATATCCGCAGGCCCTAAACGCGCATCAACAACGTCAAAATCCAATTGCTTGGATAAGACCTGAAGATGCTCATTGAATTGGCGGTGAAGACCTCCGATTTCAGCTGCAGAGACAACGCCAACCAACCAATGGCCTGGATACCTGGGTATGACCAACGTATGAAACGTATGAGATCACTACAACGCTGCAGAGATACATCGACTCCGTATCGTCCCACATCGTTAGTACCCAATGATATTAACAAAAAATCTATATTTCCTACCATACGTTGAGCATCAGATGTTTGTAACCAATTTATCATTTTAATAATATCACAACTTGATTCATATGACAATTCAACATCGACGACATTTAATTTTCTAATAGCATAAGTTCTCACACGAGAACACATTGAATCCGATGATATAAGACCTTCAAATGAATGATTATTATTGTAATTTTCATAATTATTATTGTATGATGGTGATGGCGAACGATGAATATTATTATTATTATGATAATGTTGATGATTGCGACGTGCTTTAATAGGTGGTGGTTGATAATGTTGTGAGCGTGAACGTGAACTTGATTTTGATGGTAATTGTGATAAAATATGAAATCGAGATCGTGATAATGCTCGAGAATGATGATATTGATAATTATTAGGATTATATTGTTGCGCATGATTATATTTACGTGTATTATGGTGAGATGGAAAATGAAATGGATTAGTATCAAGTAGTGATGGTAAATTTTGAATGTAATTATTATTTTGTTGTTGATGATGATAACGATTATAATGAGAATTATTGTTGTTATGATGATATGATGATGATGATGGTGGTAAATAACAATGAGGTGCTGGTATTGGTCGTAAATTAATTTGTCGATTGCTAGTCATGTTTGTATATCCACTAAATGTTGTTGTTGTACCCGTTTGAAAATTATTGAAATTATTATATTTACGATGACGAGCTCCATATAATGATGTTTTTTTTGAAATCTGTTGGACGAGATGATGATATGATGGTGGATTTTGTTGATGTGGAAAATTAGGTAATAAATATGATGGGTGCATAGGTAGAATATTAATATTTGGATGATAATTTGATGATGATGATGTTGTTGGAATAATGGTAATGGAAGACATTGTTAATTCTTTTCGTCAACTGAGAACTTGGTGATTATTGAACTTAAAGTGTATGGGGTGTGAATTTAAACAAATAAATAATCGAATTAACAATTATACAAAATAAAGAAGAACAACTATTTGAATAAATATTTAAATAAATATGAATAAATATGACATAAATAAATTTAATTTTTTTTGTTTAGTTTTATTTTATTTAAGTTTTTTTGTTTATCTTATTTTATTTCAAGATTGGTTTTCAAGTTTTTGGTATTTTTTCAATAAAAAACAAAAATAATCTAATTTTTAACCATATAAGAAAATAATTTGAAGAAAAAAAGAAAAATAACACTTTTTTTTGAGTTTTTGTATAATTTTTCAAAAAGAAGATGAAAAATAAGCAGGTTTTTAAACGAAACAAGAAAAATAAACGGAAGAAAATCAAAAATTAATAATGTTTTTGAATATTTTTAAATAATTTTTCAAAATGAAACGGAAAAAATCTAGGTTCAGATGAGATAAGGAAAACTGAATAAATAAATAAATAAATAAATAAATGAGTTCGAGAAAAGAAAATGTATGAAAAGAGAGTTTTTTTAATTTGTTTTTAAATAAAGAAAATGAGCTTTAATTTAGAGAGTTTTTTAAAGTAAAGAAAAGAAAAAATAAGACTATTTTTGATAAGGAAAAGTGATGATGAAATTTAGACTTTTGAACCAGAGTTTTTTTGAAAATTTTGCTTTGAAAGAATCTTTTAAGTTTTTATGTTTAGTTTTTTTTATTATTTTATTAAAATTTTAACAAAAAGTTATACGATACGTGAACAATTGTAATAAGCGATGCGTTTCGAATTTTTCTTCCAGCTATGTGACTATCTTTTCTTAGTGTTCATCCTCTACTCTCGTTCGTTCCTCTACTTCCGCCAATGGGAGATTTTTCTATTGTTCGTGGATGAAACTAATCTAAATAGTAGAAAAAAATATCGTTATCTATCAGTACTCTCACTCATTCTAAGTATATTTCTAACTCAAAAGGCAATCTCAATGCTGTGGGTGCCACGAAAGGACTCAACTCAAGGATAAAACCTCTATCACATAAAAAATACACAAAATTACAAAAAACAAAAATGAAGGAAGGAGGTCTTTCTCTGTTGTCGCCGTCGTTGTTGTTGACAAATCTAGAAAGACTACTACCCAATTCTTCTTTCAAAAAATCATCAAGTTTTCTTAGTCAATTAATTTTTCTTTTTAATGTTTTAAAAAATATCAAAATACTAAAGTTGAATGTCTTTAGAAAGTACATCATACATGTAACAAATTACTTTAAAAGTCGAAAGAAATGTAATTTTGAAATAATCCAATGCTTTTATTATCTCTTTGAAAAATTCTAAGATTAAATACATGCAATGAAACATTTACTAGAATAAGACAACATTTAAAAACACAAAGTTGAAATTGATCTTTCAAAATGTCACATTCTAACAAAAGATTTTATTTCCTCAAAATGCGTACCTGTCTATGTTATCTGGTTTGATGACGATGAATTTGTGTATGAGGTTTATTATAGAAGAATATAAGGATTAATCCTACTATAAAGAGATTAAGTAGTTCACTCGAGAAATTACAACACAGTGTAGCTAATTCAAATAGTTATATTATTAAAAAAAAGTAATTTACCTAGTATTCCAAGCATTATTGTACGATCTTATGATATCATTCTTTATTGTCTTGCCTCGTCCAATCCATTTCTCATGGACCTAAATTTTTTTCTTCACTACCTCTCCATGTCTTTATAGAATGTTTATATTTTTTTAATCATACAATTCATTTGACTGCATATTAAACACAAGAGTAAAAAAGATAAATATTTGATCGTCAAAACGATATAGCTCGAAAACAATTAATTTTTTACTTTTTTATTCTATATTAAACGAAGAAATGAAATATTATTAACAGTTTTAGGGTACAAATTAGATTGTTGGTTGAGAACTTGATCTACTGCCGAAAACTCTCTTTCGACAGAAACTGAGTTAAGTGGTATTTAGTATATGTGACATGTCTATTAACGTAGTTCTATTTACCATGAATGTTTACATGATTTCTTGAAAGTTAGCTTTCTAGTAAACCAAGCCCATGTCCGTTGAATCGGCTAAAAATTGCCGATTAATCCCGATTCA